CGATACCCTCCTCGCTCTGGCGGGGCCTCCCTGGAGGGGTGGGAGGGGCACGAAACCTGCCTCCCTGGGAGTGCCGATATCCTCCTCGCTCTGGCGGGGCCTCCTTGGAGGAGCAGGAGAGGCATGGAACCTGATAGATATGGTATGGTATAGTATGATAGGCACGGCATGGTATAATATGGAATGGAATGGTCTGGTAGGTACGGCATGGTAGTAGGGTATGGTACGAATGGTATGGTATGGCAGGTATGGCATGGAATGGTAGGAACGGTAGGGTAAGTATGATATGGTAGGTATGGTATGGTAGTAAGTGGTAGTGGTAGTGGAAGTGGTAGTGGAAGTGGAAGTGGCAGTGGTAGTGGTAGTGGTAGTGGTAGTGGTAGTGGTAGTGGTAGTGGTAGTGGTAGTGGTAGTGGTAGTGGTAGTGGTAGTGGTAGTGGTAGTGGTAGTGGTAGTGGTAGTGGTAGTGGTAGTGGTAGTGGTAGTGGTAGTGGTAGTGGTAGTGGTAGTGGTAGTGGTAGTGGCAGTGGTAGTGGTAGTGGTAGTGGTAGTGGTAGTGGTAATAAAGCAGCAGCACCGGAGGAGGAGGGAAGGAGGGAGAAGGACAAGGTGCTATTGAAAAACAAGAACCCCACTCAGGATGTGGGGAACAACAACAACACCTCGATACCCGCCCTCTTCGTCTTCGATCGAACCCCACTTGGGGGGTATACTTTTCTTCCCTGCAGGCCGGGCCCCGGCAAGCGGCGGGGCGGCCGCGGACCGTCGGCCTGGCCAGAGGCAGCGCTGATCGGCGGGGCGGCCGCGGACCGTCGACCCGACCCCAAGAGGGACGGACAGGGGACCGACCACGACGACGACGACGACGACGTCGACGACGACGACGACGACGGCGACGACGACGACGACGACGGCGACGACGACGAGCGAAAGCGAGAGCGAGAGAGAACGACAGCAGGGCCACGAAAGACACGAAGCAGGCCACGAAGGGCGACAGCGGGGACACGAAGGGAATGCGTATGGGGCCACGAAGAGCGCGAACGAGCGGGGGCCACGAAGGGCAAATAATGCGGGGCCACAGATGGCAACGATGGGGCCACTGAGGGTAGCATCTGGGCCACGTAGGACAGTGAGGGGGCCACAAACAGCGACAGCGGGGCCACGGAGGGCATGCACATGGGGCCACAACGGGCGCGAACGAGCGGGGGCCACGAAGGGCATACGTATGGTGGGCCGGGGAGGGCAAGGACGGGGCCACTGAGGGCAGCAACGGGGCCACGAAAGGCAGCGAAGGGGCCACGAAGGGCGACAGCGGGGCCACGAAGGGCATGCATATGGGGCCACCACGGGCGCGAACGAGCGGGGGCCACGAAGGGCATACATATATGGGGCCACGAAAGGCAGCGAGGGGGCCACGAAGGGCTGCAACGGGGCCACGAAGGGCAGCGAGGGGGCCACGAAGGGCTGCAACGGGGCCACGAAGGGCTGCAACAGGGCCACGAAGGGGAGCGAGGGGGTCACGAAGGGCTGCAACGGGGCCACGAAACAAACCGATGGGACCACGAAGGGCTGCAACGGGGCCACGAAGGGCAGCGAGGAGGCCACGAAGGGCAATGCGAGGGGGCCACGAAGGGCTGCAACGGGGCCACGAAACAAAGCGAGGGGGCCACGAGGGGCTGCAACGGGGCCACGAAGGGCAGCGAGATCCCGATTCCTAGGTAATCTGTCAGGGAGTCCTAAGCGTGAGCGCGACTCCTGGGTGCCTGGGTGTCGGGAGCGGGGCGCTGGGCTGGGCGCTGGAGTAAATTGCAGGAAATTCCAACGCAAGGGCGCTTTATTCGTCAGTAAATTGCAAGCAAGTCTCCAGCGACAGCGCGACTCCAGAGCGCCGGGAGAGCGATTCCTGAATAAATTGCAAGGAGATCCTAAGCGAGAGCGCGATTCCTGAATAAATGCGAGGAAGTCTCGGGCGGGAGCAGGGGTCCTGGCTAAATTGTAAGGAAGTCTCAGGCGGGAGCCGTTGCTGTTGTAACCCGGGGGCCAGGGGCACAGTTTGAGCATCAAGCTTTTCCCTGTCAAAAAATATGGTGCGAGCGTCGAGGGGCACACTTTGATTGAGAAAAAAAAAGTATGCACCAGTGGGGGGATCAACAATAATTATTCTTCAAAACTGAGTGTTCAACAACAACGAGAAAAAGAACAACAACAACAACAACAACAACAACAACAACAGCAGCAGCAGCAGCAGCAACAACAACACCACCACCACCACCGCCACCACCACCATCACCACTCTCTTCCTTCTCCGCCTCCTCCTCCTCATCGTCCTAAGATCATCAGTATCCACCGACTCCTCCCCCTCCTCCTCTCCTCCTCCTCCTCAGCAGCAGCATCATCATCGTCATAATCAGCATCAGCATCAACATCAGCATCAGCATCATCCTCATCATCATCAGCATCAGCATCATCATCAGCAGCATCATCAGCTGCATCAGAACCA